AAGGGAAGGAATAATAATGATAATTCCGCTTTTGAGATAATTCCGTAACTGTCAAAATCCGAACGACCGAGCCGATTGCTGACCACCGCTCCCTTAATTCCATCCTGCACAATTATTATTTTTTTTCTTTTAATTCATCCTTTTTCGTCCTCTTTTAGTACATACGGAGTATTTTCGAACTTTCCGAATCGCTGCCTCATATGGGCCGAGCTAAACCTTGCTGTTCCCTCCGTCTTGCGGTGGAATTGATTCTGGCCGCTGCTTAAGGTTTTCCCTCTCTCTTTTTTGAGGTTCCTTTCTTGCTTGTCTCGTCCTTGCTGTAATAATTATCACGTATTATCCTCGAGACCGACTCAGATAAGGTTGACATGGCTAACCCAATCCCCTTCTTTACCCGCGTCACGATAGAGTAATGCTAGTGTCATCCTCGAGATGAGGACGATTAATAAGCCTTACGGCTTGCTTTGAAATGAGTCAAAAGTTTGGCTTCCAGTTTGACTTCTTCTGTAAGCAACCAATCGCCGGCATAAGCAACGGAAGCTTCTGCCAGCTCAATGATTTGACATCCAATAGGATGATCGCTCCCTTCGTAAACGCCAAATGCCGGGGTCTCGGTGTCTGAATCAGTGATGAGAAATTTTTACAAAGCGCAAAGCTTCTTGCAGCATTGGACATTCGTATTGCGACCACAAATGTACAGAGTATGTATGATGGTATGTACAGTACATACATACCTCCGGGCGCTACTACCTCAGGTTGGTGACCTTAGGAATTTTCGAGAGTTGATATTCGTGAGACCAGTGTTCTCCACAAACGACGGAGATCGGGTGACTTAATTCCCACCAGACAGCTAGGCACAGGATCGTATATTCCCCGACGCATTGGGTAAGGACGATTGTGAAGAACTCCTCCGTTACCATGAAACGGGAATCTTCTCCCTGACACAAAACCCAAGCACTCGGCATCGGCACGTCCGCGCCCGCGGACACCGATATTTCCGCTCGATCGGTATGTCTATGTTCCGACTCGAATTGTTACGGGCGCAAGGTAATTTATGGGGTACATGAATTTCATGGCGGCATTCTAGAAGAACGCATTCTTTCGCAAGTGCTCCAAGTTCATACAAAATAGGGGAGATGGGAGAAAGGATAATCATTTTTGGTCCTAATTGTTGATTACGCAATTCGCAGCCTTGAAATCTGTCACGTAACATGCGAACGATGTTACTAGATATTCCGCCTCGAGATCTTTCATGATCGTGGGTACTGACTCATGTGGTCTCTTGTAGTGGTCTAGACACGGCACCATTTGCTAACTGATGTGGTAGGTAGGCATATCGCCCTTACCACAACGTAGGAACTTCATAGAGCTGTTCAACATGTATGTGCTCAGTATGGACGTACTGTACATCCATGCGAATATGCCACCTGTTCGCTGTCCAACCCACACCGCTCATCCACCCATTCTACTTCATCAGTCATGCGCTTAGATACGGCAAGTAGATCGTGGAGTACTCTATTGAGTTTATTTAAACCTGCAGGGCAGAGCCTCAAAAGGCGTTCTCTTCTAAAGGCCTAAAACAATAACACCTTACCTCTAGGCGACATTCAACAGGACGGATTCTCCGTTGGTATGGCCGGAAGAGGGATACTTCTGTAGGCACACGAGGGCAACACTGCAATCCATTGAAACAGTACCAATTGCCATGTTGAACTGGTCTATTCAAGCACATGGGTATTGGTGGATTATTCCCTCTCGGTTAATATACCAGTGCATTCATCTCGGGTCATTATGACGTTGTAAAGGGGCTTTTGATATTAGCCTAAAGGCACTTTTCTGCGGGGTACGGAGTAATGCCCCTCGTTTATATTAATCTCCCCGTCCTATTCAGTTGGGCCCATCAACTCACACGATTTGCTATTAACTCCTAAGGGGTACAAGGTGGTCTTCAATAGGTACCTTTAGGACAACTGATACGCCGAAAATGGCCGATCAATCATCAGTCAAATTCACATCCTTGGGCGCAATCATCCAAGAGCTCAACGTGGATGGCCAAAACATCGTCCTGGGATTTAATAAGAAGGAATCTACGAGAGATATAACACCCCTTGGTTTGGCGCGACCATTGGTCGCGTAGCCAACAGAATCAAGGATGCCAAGATTCAAAATCTCAACAACCAAGAATATGAACTTGAGAAGAACGATGACCCTAACACGTTGCATGGAGGTAGCCGTGGATGGGGCAGGCGGGACTTTGAGGGACCGACTTTACTGCAGCGAAACGGCAAAGACACCTTGCTTTATACCTATACGAGTCCCCATCTGGACGGAGGATACCCCGGCACGGTAGGATTCAAAGTCTTCTATACCGCAAGCAAAGAAGACAACCGCTCAGTGCTTTCGATCGAGTATGAGGTTGAATTGGTGGGTGATGAGTGCAACGAGACGGTTGTCAACGTGACCAACCATAGGTATGTACCAGATGGGGACCTGGGACAGACGTGAAATGCCGTTGACTAAAGGAACGATGGAGCATTTTGCTAACGAGCTATATTCCTATAGTTATTTCAACCTCACCGGCGGCGAGACCTTTGATGGCACCTCAGCTAAGCTCTTGACTCAACACTATCTGCCGCTCGATAATACTGGCATCCCGTTTGGTAGGATCGACGTACATCCCAGTAAAGTTACTGAGCCATTCACGATCGGGCCGAATAAGGAAGCGTTTGATGATGTCTTTGTTATGGATCGAGATGTCGCTGGGATCCCGTTGGACACGCGTGAGAGACCGCTCCAGCTGCTCGCAGAGTTCCACCACCCAGAGTCGCGTATCAATCTACAGGTACACAGCACTGAGCCTGCGTTTCAGTTTTATACCGGCCAAGGAACCAATGTACCTGCGGTTGACGGCAACCCGAGTCGAGGCCCGTTCTCCGGCTTCTGCATCGAACCCAGTCGTTTTGTCAATGCGATCAACGAACCAGATTGGCGGCACATGGTTGTTTTGAAGAAGGGCGACAAGTATGGAAGCAAGATCGTGTATAAGACTTGGAAAGACCCGCAATGAATTGCTGGTTCTAGAAGAATGTCATGCCACCGATGTGGGACCGATTGAAGGAGATTTTGTGCCTATTCGGCGTTTGTAAAATCATCCGATTGTCACATGATGTGCCGATTACCCTTATCATCATAAATGTCTCCGATACATTTATCATCAAAGCTCCAGCAGTCGTACGCTCCACAGTACAATAGATACGTATATGGGATGTCAGCGCCAAGTGGGAAAAGCCTCGGCCTTAATGCAAGAGAATGCTCCACCAAGGGAGTGGGAACAGCAAAATTTTCTTTTTTAATTTTATTTTTTTTCTCTAATTCATTTTCCCTTGATGTCAAACATTTGTCAGCGGTCATCCCTCGCCAGTGTATTTGCGCGAGCACGTTGGATTGGTTTAGTTCTGCAACAGGGATAATCGCTCATCCTTCCAATATTGCTCGCCTGCCAAGAGTTTCTAGAATAGAGCTATTGTTCTAGCGCCCCTCGAGTATGCCTGCTATGTTTGTTGATCATCTCATAGTAGTTCGTTAGGGAATGGGGCAGTTTCTGAACTTTATAGGCCATGGTGCTCTTGATAGAAACAATAGTCCAGATGATAGTAGAGGGAATCTTAGCCTCAAATAGCCATCACCAGCGATGAAAAACGCTACTGTTAGTATTCCAGTATGTATGTACATTACAGGCATACATCAATCAATTGAAACCATCGGTATTACCAAGCACAGTACGGAGTACTCCGTACAGCCGTACAGTGTACACAGTACCAGCGACGGATCTGGGGGATGCCGTTTTTGGCCGTGTAACGATACGAGACCAACTTTGCTCGAGCTTCGGACTCGGAACGGACAACAAAATTACCGACAGAGCTTGGCAGCGATGAAGGTTTTTTTTAGTGGTCGTATACCGTACAGTATAAGGTTCTCCTGGATCAGCATGCATTGCTTGGGCATTTTTTGCAACGGCCAGATTTTGGCATATCCGTAACTCCGCGGGCCTCGAAGGAGGTCTTTTTGCCTTGAAATTCCTTTCCCTGGTCCGAGACGCCAAGCCGGAAACGAGTACGAAGCAGGCGCAACCACAAATCGAGTAAAGGAGATGCTAATCGCTTTGAAGTTTGATCACAAGATCGGGGCGCAGTTGATCGGTTCAGGAGGACGGAGTAGTTTGGAAGCATTGGGGCTGATTTACACAGTACGTATTATGTATAGAATCTATGCATATTAGCGTTGTTGTTTATTACCCCGCACTCTGTTCGGATTGCATTTATACAAGTTATGTATGGACAGTATATATGGATATGTACATATATATGGAGAGGGCACAAAATACACATTAGCATTAATCAACTTAATCCTCCATTCACCACCATGCGATGTTATGTGTGCATTGTGCAATATCTATCTTTATGCCAATGAAAAATGGAGCAATCATCTCATCAGAAGATCAATGCTCCTCGATCAAGTATCCTTGTTGCCTACAGCTGGGGGCAGTGCGACCCCACATAGTTCTTAGCATGGAGTCTCCTAAAAAGATGGCTGTGCTCTTGGAAGGAGCTGCCTTTGTATATTATTATACGAAGAAATTTAGAACTGATAGGTTTTACCGGTGCCCGATCATCACAGACTGTATTTGTACGGTATATACGAAATGAACATCGAACGGAAAGAAAAGCTTGACAGATATGGAAGCTGGTCATACCGACTCTCTACTCTCCCAGGGAAAGTAACGCGAAGGGACATACTTTGTATGTTATGTCCATTCATCCATGTAGTTACTCCGGAGTACATCCAGCAATGACTTCAAGGGCTCCCGCACCACGTGACTGCCCCGGAACGTCCCGATGGCCTGCCCCGCGTGGGGTTCGATATCCAACTATCTCAACTTCCGCCTCATGCTTGATCAGATTCCCATCCTGCGTTAAGAGATCCATAGTCTATCTCAATAAACATCCGCTTTTCAGGAAGACGCACACAAAACAATGGCTTCTACTTATGGGGACCTCCGTCACTTGCTTCCTAGCAGCTACAAACGCCTGATTACCTCCTGGCTCGAAGAGGACTGTCCCAGTTTTGACTATGGCGGTTTCGTCGTTGGGGAGTCAGACGGCGAGGCAAGGTTGTTGGGGAAAGCTAAGGTAACTCTCGCATTCTGTGGATGCATGAGGGATATGTATCTCGCGAAACCCCTATCATTGCGTGCTAATCCATCCCCGTGTCCATAGGGAGTCGTGGCAGGCGTCCCCTTCGTCGATGAGGTTTTCGCCCAGTTAGGATGCACGTGAGTCAATTCTACACGACGCAGGGACCGAGCCTGTGCCATGCGATCAGTATCTAAATGACAGGAAAGCGTCGAATGGCACGTCCAAGAAGGCGAGCCTATCGAACCCATCAAACATTGCGCCACCGTGCGCGGGCCCATCCGCAAGATCCTCCTCGGAGAACGTGTCGCCCTCAATATCCTCGCCCGGTGCTCCGGTATCGCAACAAAAAGTGCCTCGTTAGTAGCTGCTCTCCGCGCCCACGGATGGGGTGGAACACTTGCCGGCACCCGTAAAACCACGCCTGGATTCCGCGTCGTTGAAAAGTATGGAATCCTTGTTGGAGGCGCCGATCCACACCGCCATGACCTCAGTTCGATGACAATGCTGAAGGATAACCACGTCTGGGCTTGTGCAAATAACAGTGCGGCTAAGGATGGGGCGGGTCCTGCTTCGACCGAGTCCGTCGCGGCTGCTATACCTCGGGCGGTTCATGCAGCTAAGGTGGCTGGTGGCTTTGCGACTAAGGTAGAGGTTGAATGCCGAAGTGTCGAGGAGGCGAATGCGGCTATTGAGGCCGGGGCGGATGTGATCATGTTGGATAATTTCACTCCGGATGGTGTTCGCGAAGCAGCTAAGCAACTTAAGCAAGATTGGGCCGGCAAGAAGCAATCCTTCCTCATTGAAGTAAGTGGTGGGTTGAACGAGTCCAACGCTGCTTCATATGCCTGCTCGGACGTCGACATTATTTCCACTAGCTCGATTCACCAGGGTGTCGGAATTGTGGACTTCTCTCTCAAGGTTTCGCTGCGGTGAACACCGTGATTGAGGTTTGGACACGCGGTAAGTAAAATAGCTGATTGACGACGCCATGTGTAGATGTGAATAGATAAAACCATGTATTTATGTACTTTGTCCGCACGTTCCCACTTGACCAAAAGCCAACACTGGCGGTTGGTCTAGCCTTCCATGTGATACAATATACCCGATACACACAGACACAATGCTTGTACCTATCCGCCCTACTATGCAAGGCACAATGATTGTTGAGTAGGTTGAATTACACTCATATTGGCATAGTGGCCATGTGGCATATTTTGCACTAGAAGTACTTCTCTGACTATGGCGTATGCCTTATCAATCCTCAAAACCCAGTACGAAGAACACTTTATAACCTAACTCCGTCTATTACCCTACCGAGTAGTGAATCACTCCCATGAAAACAGAAACATCTGTGGCGGGCAACATGAATCGGTTAGGGTATTAGAAGTTAAAAAAGAAAATGAGAGCCGAAAGCGATGGGTATATAGTATATGCAAGAATGAACACACAGGACCTGGATCAACATGAAGTGAACTGGATTGGCCTGCTCAGGGTAAAACAGAAAAGTCACAAGGGGTGCAAAACAAGCTTGAGAACAGGACAGGCATTGGTTCCAATAAGAACGGGCGAGAGCAATGAACAAAAAGAAAGAAAAATATAACTCAAGAATAAAGAGGGAAATGTTTAGCAGGGGGCCAGAAGGGGACTTCCCTAAACCTCAATATCAACACATATCCCTTCTCCATCACTCGAGCTCGGGTCATCATCTCGGTGATTAACGTATCCGTCACCGGAGCCATGATCAGCCCCTTGAATCATCCTTAGATTTTGCCCTCGAGCCTGACCAGCGTTGTCCTCAACAGAATAATCCGTTGACATGTCTTTGCGCACACGCTCCCTCTCTAGTTGGGCTCGAAGCCTTTGGTTTTCAGCATCTCGCTCTTCAAGTCGCTTGCGAGCCCCGTTACGATCTAGTAGGCGTGCCTCCCTTTCTTGCTTCAGTCTTTTCTCCAGTTCGTGCAAGCGCTGAATCCATTTCTCATTATTCCCTTGGTCGCCTACCGCGCGTCTTGTGCGGGAGCTATGCACCATGGCCCCAGCACCGTCGGCAAGTGTCGTGGTTGAAGAGACATGGGATGGCTGAGGTATACCGCTGGTTGAACTCCGCGTCAAACCCCGAGAATTATGGGGGATGGCGGGCTTTTCAACCATGGAATTATGACGAACCAAGGAAGCTGGATCAACGTCCGCCCTGGATTCCATGCGTGGAGAGCTCGGCCCCATCCCGGCAGGCCCGCGGCTGCGCGAGTGAGATTGTAGCAGATTCAGCTCAGCTTTCAACAACCGATTCTCCCCTCGAAGCTTGGCAATCTCTGGTGACAGGCCAGATTGACCCAGCTTGTGTTGTTGAGCACGCATGTTCATCATTGATTCTTCTAAACGATCCAGCTTTTTGATCCGTAAGCCCAAGGTGTGCTCGACGGCCTGATATTGCTTGGTAAGGTCACGTTCAACGCCCTTGATGCGATTCTTGAAGCCTGAGATCACACTCTCCAGTGTCTTCACAGCAAGCAAAAGATTGCGGCTGAAGCCCGGCCAGAACAGGATATTGCCTATGACCTCTTGACTTGGCAGGTTGCCGTTGATTAAGCTGTTAGAGTGGGCCCAGTCCGGTCCACACATCGCCGATAAACGTTTCCAGATCATAAGAAGCATTGTGTTCCGCTCATTTAGCTGATCCTTGAATTGTTGCTCAAGATTAGTAAACCGCTTGCGATCCTGGCTGCGGGCATTTTCTAGTTCTGTGATGCGTGAATTGTTTTGGGTGATGGTCCGAGATGCTTGGTGGTGAGATTTAAGCGCCTGTTCAAACGATTGCTTATCGGCCCGACGAGAATGTCGCTCGCGTTCGAGAAGCTCAGCTAACTTCCGAGACTCCAACCCATGGCTCTCAAGTAGCGCATCGCGATTTCGCAATAGCGACTCAGTCTCGTCTAGTTTAGAGCGGGTACTTTCGAGTTCCCAAGCAGTCGATTCAAGATTCTTTTGAAGTTCCATGATTTTGGAAATCAAGCTAGAGCGACTACCAGTCAGATCACCCAAAGTCTCTCGAAGATTGTTCTCTAGATCCATGAGTCGCTCCCTCCAAGTATTAGTCTCGATTTCTTGAGCTGATAGACTCTTCTTGAGTTTCCGTGCCTCCTCCTTGGCAGCAGATGCTTCTCGATTCAACTCGTTGACGATTCGCTGGACTTCTTGCTTCTCCTTGCTTCCTACAACCTCTCGTTGATGCCGCTCTTCTGTCAGGCGCTCCTCAAGTTCTCTGGCCTTGTCCTTTTCGCTTTGAAGGCTCATATTGTATGTCTTTAATTCTGACTCCAGATCACCGATTCTGATCTTATCGCCATCTTGTTCTTCTCGCAAGAATGCAATCTCGTTCTGACTCGATTCAATTTGAACTGTCAGTCGCTGGACCTTCGTATTTGCTTCAAAGAGGCTTTTTTCAAGAGACTCCATCTCTCGATTACAGTCCTCAAGTTCTTGTTGGACAGCTTTGTAACGTTGCATGTTGTTTTGTGCGTCTTCTTCAAGCCGAATGATGCCTTCGCTGGCTGAACGCATCTCCGCCTGCAGCGCCCGGAGGTTCTCATCTTGAATCTTCAACTCTTCTCCTAATCGCTGACACTCTTCAGTCTTCTGATCAAGCTCCTCGCCAAGGGCATCCAGCTCATCTTGGGCTTCAGCCCTCAAGTCCTGGAAAGCCGCATTGTGTTCATCCGCCATCAGTAGTGCACGGTCACGTTCTTGCTCTAGGTTCTGCAGATCTTCTTGTAGTTTTTGCATTTCTTCCTCGGCTTGATCCATGTCAGCCTGATATGCCTTATCGAAAGCCTCAACTTCTTTGCCACGTTCTTGGTATGCTTTGTCAAGTGTTTCCAACTCTTTCTTGTACTCTTCCAACTCTCTTTTATACTCTTCCAGCTCCGTCCGAACAGCTTGATTATCAAGTTTCAGCGCGGACACCTGATCACGTAACTGTCCGTTCCGAACCTCCAGATCTTCTCGTTCCGCGTCATCGCCTGGGTATGGACCAGTTCCGTCACTCGCTCGAGAGGATGGTCTACCGTGAGCTCGAGATGCGGACCGATCAAAGATGCTGTCCCCAGCAATAGAGCGGCCACCGTCGCGCCGCTGACCAAGCTTCAGCTCCTCGATCTCTTGGTAGAGACGTTCTTTTTCTCGATTTCGAGATGTAAGCATCGAGGTTTGAGCACTCACTTCTTTCCTCAGCTCCGCATTCTCTTGTTTCAAGAGCTCTAACTCCATTACCAAAGTTGAACTAGAGGAACTACTAGGGTTTGCATTGCGATTCAACTCTCTATCGGAGAGAGCAGAGTACGAATTCAGGGACTCTACCCGGTCACGCTGCGTTGCTCTTGTGGAGACTATTATCGAGCTCATTTCACTCTTAAGGCGTAGCGCATCGTCTCGTAGCCTTTTGTTCTCCTCCTCTGCCTGCTCTCGAGCAGCCGTCTCTGCTTCGAGCATATCTTTCCACATATCCTAGAGCATTCAGTTCAGTATAAAGGCAACCGGAAACTTGGGGTGGCCTGCACTCACCCTCTCTTCCCTTGCTCCTACATCCGAACCCATTGGCCTTCCATCATTAAGTGATTTCAGAATTTCTGCCAGTTTCCTCTTCTCGCTTTCCCTGGCAATACTTTCAGACCTTAGTCTCTCAATTTCGAGCTCGTAAACCTCCACTCTCTCCCGGAGAAATAGTATCTCTTCTTCCTGTGCTGGTTCACGACCGTCGTCTTCAGATCCTTCAGGGTCGTGATTCACCATAGATTCCTTGTCAGACTGATGGTCTTTGAGCTGCTTCTCTAAATCACGAATTTTCCTTTTTAGAGTTTGGCTATCTTTCTGAAGTTTCAATTTATCTGACTTTAGCTCAACATTCTCCGAAATCATCTCCTTTATTCCTTCCTCAGAGCGGCGATTCAATGCTTCATTGAGAAAATGAATTCTCATCTTCAGGTCAAAGTTCTCTTTGGAGAGACGATCAATGGTGCTGCTTTGCTCTTTGAGGGTCATGGACCGGCCACTCCTTGCAAAGGCTGGCGTGGCACCTGCACGCTTGTCCGGTGATAATCCGCGGCCAGCATAGTCTTCTCTAAATTGCTTCACAAATGTGCTTGGTACCTGGACATCTTTGACACGTTCTGCAATGGCCGTTTCTGTGGGGAAACTGCTATCCTGCGCCTTCGCTTTGGGTGTCATTATTCCGGTAGTATCTTCAGCCATAGGTTCCTCTTGGTTATGTCTGTGCTTTTGTTGGGATGATCCGGGGCGTGACTGCAAAGGCGTTTCCTCCTCATTCAAAGTACCTAAGCCACTTTCTGTAGTGTTGCTGGGGTTTCTCTTATCGAGGAGATTTTCATCACTATACCCAGATATACCGGAAGCCATACTTCCGAGGCTCACTGATCTAGCCAGGTTGTTACGTTGCTCGTGTTGGACAGTGCCAGCGTTACCTGGTACTGCACCTCCCGACTGAAGCGCGTAGTCAGCGCCCAATGTTGCATCACTATTCGTCACTTCTGTATTGTTGCTTGTCACCGAGGAATAAGAGAGACGATGGATTGACTGGCGACTGGTCAAATATTTCGGTCTATTCCCTCTACGGCTGCTTGTGCGTGAGGTGGCCTCCACTTCATAGTTGGTATTTTCGCTGAGAAGTCCTGCCTGTGAGGGCGAAAGGCTCCGCGAAGTCGTGCGAAAGTCCCGACGAGCTGGCTGTTGGGATTGATTCGAATCGAACACAGGAGGCCTATCCGCTGGCTCCTCGAAAAATTGGCCAATCTGGCGGTTACCCTCAGATGTTGAAAGTTGATTCCGATTCACGGTCCTAGCTGCCGCTTGTGCCGCGGGTGATGACTGAGCCGCCTCTAGATCCTTCTCACTATTCTCCTGCCATTCGGAGGAGGGTGCAGGGGTGCTCTCTGAGTCCACACTCATATCCTCCTCAGGCCTGTAACTGGGGGTTTGTGGTATCGGAACACCATCATAGGTTGACGTAATATCATAGCTTGAGCTATCCGGTACCACAAAGGACGATTGAGCATGATCTGGTTTGTTTGATTCCGGGGCGCACTCATCGACTCCAACCAGATAGGTTTCGTCGGCACTCGAGTGCTGATTCCTTGGAGCAATTTGGATCGTTGAGGGTTCCGGCAAGAAGCTTGACTCCATGTCCATCAACTTTCTTCGCATTTCTTTCTCCTCCATCAAAGTCTGATTGACCATGCGCTCGTGATCACCGTCATCGCTAGACAGGAGTAAAAGACTGCTGTCATCATTATCGGGTAGCGGAGGTAGATTTAGGGAAGCATTCGAGTCGTCCAGATCCAGCTGCTCAACAGCAGATGTAGATCGGTCATCTTGTTTCGCGTCGGCTGTTGTTCCGTCCTGTGTGTAATAAGGTCCATCATCTACACCGGTTGTATTCGAGTTTGTTAGGGGATGTTCTCCCCGCGCGTCCCCCTCCTCCATGATATCGGACGCGTTGAACCCGTCCTCCAGGGACGAAAGTTCGTTTCCAGTATCCAAGCTTCTTCTAACGGGCGAGGAAGACGGCGGTGAGAGCGCAGTTTCAATGGCATTGAGGATCTCGAATGAAGGAGATGGCAGTTGGACGGACCCTGTCGACATGGTGACGGAGTCTGGGCACCGTGTTTGTTTTCTCCACTTCCACCTTGAATCCCTTGAATCTTAATGGCGAAGGGCCGGCTTCGCTGACCCACTTAACTCGGGAGACTTAGCGTGATCACCAAGTTTAGACTCCCGCCGGTCTTGCTTCAGGCCCAGCAACTTTGAAGTAAGTCTATTTCGTCTTTTGCCCTTTGGGATTGTCTCGATAACCTAAGACTTCGCTCAGAAAGAAAGAAGGTAAGAAAATGAATCGACTGTGGCGGAAGAGTACATTCTATTCAGGAGCAGGTCAGTAACCTTGAAACCTGGAACCAGCCAATTCCATATTCGCGACCAATCAGTCAGGTGATGTACCTTTCTCGAGCCGTTGCACCAATACCGGTACGTATACAGAAGATAAGCCCAAAAAGGGTGTATATGATTAAATTATATAAATATCTATACTGGATAGTTATTCACACTACTTGGACTAGTGATACTAAATATATCCACATCAAAAAGATCCAAACCAAATGACGCTCGTAGTACCCATAACATAAGTCTCGTAAAGGTTTCAAAAGAAAAGAAATTGCAAGATACAGACGGGGGAGAGGGAAAGTGACGAGGAAAGGGAAATTCAATCATTAGCAGACGATGATAGAGACTGTTTAGTGATGTATAAGAAAAGCACAAGACCATGATTAATGGCGGGGTAATCGCATGCATACGACTTCATAAAAACCTTGAGTGACAGTTGAGAGAAGGCATACCATGTATTCTTTATCTGGAGGGTGAGCTCTCCTCGCGGGAAGCATATATTTTGTTTTTAAGGTCAAGTGCCCTTTGCAGAGTCTCAATATATGTGCGAAATTTCACATTTTCTCGCAGCAAGTAAGATGATTTACGCTCCCAGTTGGCCATCGACTTCGTGGCATTTGGATGTCGGGGAGAAAAGGCCAGGACCATGGCCGGTCGGAGTTCATTATGTCGCTGTAGTTCATCCTCAACATTCTTGACGTACGTCCGCAAAGCATTCAGCTGGTCAGCTTCAGGTAAATTTGAAGCGACCATACTCTGTTGAGGCGGAGCCCAGTCGCTGATATGTACTCGATCGGCCGGAAGCCTGGGGCGTACGCCACCCTGCTGGTCAATAGAGCTCCGGATGGAACTTTGAATGCTAGGTCGTGCCCCAGACGAAGATGGCGGCGACTTGTTGTTGTTATTCTCCGCCGTTATCAAGGCACTATTGATGACTGCATCACTCCAGCCGTATTCCATATTGCTAACGCCACCAACCAAAGGCTCCTTGGACAACCTTGCACTCCAGTAATTCGCCGTAGAGACGAATTCATGGACAATCTCTGGGGTGCCAGCCTGGAAAAGGTGTACTGCGCCATTAGGTAGACTTAAAGCCCAGACGTGCGGGCGGGACTTAGAGTACCCGGGGGATGGAAGTACGCTTGCAAGGGTTTGACGTAGGAGAAACTTCCTTATCTCCTCGGCGTTCTCTGTCCAGTTTCCTCCCCCCACCACCACTCCGCCTTGTGAGTGAGTTTTCGACTTATGCCGAACGGACTTCGTCGATGAATTGAATGAAAACAGACGCATCCAACCCTGTTGTATCACAGCGAAGCATTCGTTCCAATTTCGGTCCTTAGCCCTTTTATCAGCAGAATCTAAGTGTTGCTTATGCTTTAGGCTCCCTTCTTTGGCCCAAGGAGCACCAGCAAGTTGAAGAGTCTCGTCTTCCAGAAGTGGTATGGTTCCCTCAATCTCCTCAGTGCTTGCGATAGAATAAGCAGAGTCCTCCCGGATTATCGCTTGGCTCAGTGCACTAGCGAATCCAATAGATTGCTGATAGTCACCACGCATGTAGTCTGATCCGAATGAGTCTACCGAAGCAGATGTTAACTTGCCCAAAGATTGCTTACTCCAAGTACTGGAGGCAGACGGGCTCCAGAAAGATGACTGCTCCTCCAGGCTGGTTCGGCTGGAACCCATGACGGAAGGAGGGTATAATCTCGCCCGTGACCGGTTTTTGGAAGACCAGCGCGCGGCGCCGTAGCGGGAGTCGGCTGAGCGGCCCCGTGGGTAGATGTCGGAGCCGCTCCTGCTCACGGTGCTGGGGCTTCTGCGTAAACCACCCGGATTAGGAGACAGTAAATGGTTCGATGAAGTTCGAGACGCCTCCCTCTCTACTTGAGCACCGTGGAGTGGGAGTCTCTGCTTCTGAATCGACGTGTAAAAGTCCCTAAGGACGGTTTCGACTTGCTGGCCCCAGGCTTTGTCGGTTCCACTGAATGGCACATTGACCAACGGCCCTGTGTTGGTTTCAGGATCACCTGACAATTTGACGGAGAGATCAGTTCGAGAGAGTCGATTCACGAGCTTCGCTGGCGCATTTGTGGGTTTATCAGCGGCCATGACCCCATGATCGGACTCATCCATAGGCGATGTCAGAGATTCTCGGGCCAACACTTTCGATTTATTGTGAGCGACATGAAGTGATTCAAACCCATCCGGGGCCGCGTCAAACGCCACACGATGTATAGTGGGCATAGTGTTCCGAACAAATTGGCCTTTTGTCATCTTCTGTTCAATATCCGCAAGGTGAAGGTCGGTGTTCAACAGAAGAAGAGAGTAGCATATAGTGTGCACAACATCTAGATAGATGGTGGGTTGAGCATTACATCGCACAAGAGCACGGAACATAGAATAAGGGCGGACATACCTGAAGCTTTGAACCCATGGTTAGGGTTGCACTCGCACCATCGTACGGAAAAGGCATCTAGAACTCGATCAACCTGCTGTGTCTCTCCCTTTAATATAAGTCGGGTACATAGACTTCGGAGTGCTGCCAAAATATTCATATTAGACCAATCAAAAAACTCCATGTATGCTTTGCGAATCGTAGCGCGGTCCGGGTCACCGAGCCATGCAGCAGCTGGCTCATTTCCCACAACTTGATCCTGACTGTCGTAGAGCTTTTGAGCCTGTTCTTTTTCTGGGTCTCCTGGTTCATCACCCGGGACCTCATCAGCGCAATCAACTTTGCTTTCCGATATCTCAACGGACTTTGATTCCGCAGGAGAAACCACGGGTGTGCTGGAAGCAGTGTAATAATTCGAGATATTGGATGTCGATACTTTCAATGAGCCATTGGTATCCACTGGAGGAGATTTTTGGATGGATTCATCCTCGCGGCCGTGAAGCCTGGGTCCGCTCTGATACTCAACTTCTTCCGATTCTCCTGGATTGATCGTACGTGTTTCCTCGGGATGTTCTACAGGCGACACACTCAAACGCTCAACAACAGGTGATAGTGATGGAACACTGAGGTCTTGTGGCGTCAACTTGTTCCGGACACCACCAGTGCGATCACTCTCCGATTCCGGCCCACTGTCGCGTAAACCAATGCCATCCCTAGGAGCCAGCTGTTCTGGCCTGGCTGAAGATGTAGAATCCATTGGATTGACTTTTGGAATATCCTCGTCTCCGATCTTGCTTCCCGGAATCGATGTATCACGTGCACTGGAGGAAGCGGCGGGGTAAAGGCTGTATTTGGGTCTCGGCTCTCTACTTGCAGCATGAAAACTTTCCTTTGGTTTCTCTGCAGGTGAATCAACTCCTTTGTTTTCCTGTTTACCTGGACCTATGTTTCGACTATGGGATTCCGTAGAATGGAGCAGCCTGGAGCGCCAGCATCTGCAAGATAAGGGTTCATCACCTTCCTTAAACTACTCACGGGGCTAGGTTGTGGCTTCATGATTTCATGTGGCCTTGAGCCAGACTCTGGGGGGATTAGAACAGGAGGCGGAACGTTCTCAGTTACCGATCTCTTCCGTCGGCGGAAGAATGAAGATTTCTTGTTCACCACTTGATGGGCCCCTTGACGGACTGTGGTGGTACCCGCCGTGCTACTCTTCGATGGCTGCCGCCGGTCCTTGAGATTTGCTGTGGAACCATTGAAATCCCGTGTATCGTTATCTTGCGAAAATACAAGATCAACCTGATTGTTTTCTGGACCACTTGTAGAGCTTTTGGATGATCCAAAGACGCGCCGGAAGAAGCCCGGACGTTCCTTGGTCGGAATTGGGTCAGAGGGCGGTGGACACATAGGCTTGTTGAATGATATAGTAGGACTTGGGGCCGGCGGATCAAACGATGCTACCGGTATAGCCGGGGGAGGTTCCAAAACAGGCGCACCGAGTTGGGCCAAATCATTGTCACGGCCGCTCATGGCTGCAGTACCTTTCGTCCGTGCCGACTTCACACTGTTCCGTCGAGAAGCTACCGGCGTGCGCGAAGACTGAGGACCCAAAGTTCCGGGATATTCACCTTGCGATGAAACTTGATGCTTCCTTGGTCCACCTGGAATACTCGGTGTAGGGGCCGCGTCGGCTCCGTCGAATGATACTGGATCATAATCAACTGTTGTGCCCGTAAACGGAATGATCGGCTGTCGAGTGCCGAAGTCAAAGCTTGCGGAACGTCGCTCAGTAGCCAGGTCTGCCCGATTGTTTCCTGAAAGGGGTGGGCCAAAATCCATGTGTAAAGAGGAGCTCCCTTTGCTGCCTTGTCTAGTTCCGCGAACCCCAGAGGTGCCACCTCCTGAGTTGGAGCGGTAATCGTATGATTGTCCGCGCGAGCTTGGACCTTCTGGGCTGCGGGCACTACCAAATCTTTTAAGGTTGGAATTGTAATTCGAGCTGCTAGTACTCCGACGTGCCCTCCCCTGTTGAGTCCCGTATCGACCAGCTGCATCATCAGGGTTGTAGTCTGGTTCTGATGACATAGACGATGAAAAGGTATGCCCGCGATAACGACGTTGGGTTAGAGAATCTGGCGAACAACGGCCATATAGGTCTGACTCAAAAACGGAGTTGAACAGACGGTAGTCATCCAGTATGGAGGCATTGGAGGATGCAAACTGATCCAGCGACAGAAGCATATTATCAACGATAGAAGTGCGAGCGGCATGTTTGGGTGACAAAGATAAATCATGGGGATCTCGCTCATCACCAGAGTCCATGCCGTTATTTGTGTTATCACCAGCGTTATATTCGTCCAGAAAAGTTTCGCGCACTGGCGGGCGAGACTGGGTCATCCTCGTAGCTTTGTAGTTGGATGCCGCAGAAGGTGTACTCGGGGGAGAATTACTGGCATGCATCTCGGAAAGTTGTTGAGACATTATTCCTGGACTGTCTGATCGCGGGGATAGGCTCAATGAAGATAATGTAAAGCCTGCAGTTCTGGCGATCGCCGAGGTCGTGGAAGACTTCTTCTAATGCGAAAACTGTAGGCAGATGTACCTTTATGGAATTGATCTCAAGTTATACAAAGACACCGGCTCCTTGCGTCTTTATATTCCGCCCGTTTCGTACGGGAATCCAATGGATTCCCTCTTGTTGGACTGTAAGGGTTATATCTTGAACGCTAAGCGGGCCGTCTCCAAGGCAGAAAGCAGAGGGTGGTATGTGTCATCTGTCGGTCATTGCGCAGGGATCGGTTGGAGTGGACGACGGATGTTGAGACCCGAGGTCGAAGAAAGCGTGTGACAGTCAATTGAGGATCGAGTAAAGCTATCGTGCGAATTGTCATAAGCTTGGGAAGCAACAGAGCTCCGTCAGTATTATATTGTACTTAAGTATCACCAGGCATAGGTAGCGCAACAAAAACATACTAGGAAGGGGAATGGAACCAAAGGACCAAAGGCAGGCGGGGATTATCAGGGTACGGCAGGAACTGTGGGTATATGTTGAACACTGTGGGGGGGGGTATGGTTTTTGTCCCTTTTCTGTTCAGTTCCTGAAAGAAGAAAACTAGGTATGATAGAACTAGTGGTTGTGAAGGGGGAAAGGTTGAAGAGCAGATGACGGACCACTTCATCCCCAAAGAAAAAAACGTGACAGGGGAGGGTGGGAAAGGTTTACCGGATATAATCCATGATCAATTCCCAAATCAAAAGGAAAGACACTGGAACTGAAAGTGTCGTACTAGGCGGTACTAGTGCCGATGGTCAGGGGCAGCGGGAGTCTTGGCCAGAACCACACACCTCCTACAGGATGCCCAGTAGTACGACTAGTGGTTGAAGTATCTCAACGGGGCGAGAGAGAGAGAGAGAGAGGGAAGTGATTTCTCCGTCGGGCTCAAAGTTTCAGATAAATCCTTTTTTTTCCCACTCTTTTTCCTCCCACAAATCCAATCCAATTAATTCCCTGGTCGGTTGCACCACCCATCGTAGTTAGTCAACTAATCATTATTTAGCCAACTACTCCGTACTCCGTACTTATGTACTACTAGGTACTAGGCAGACTAGTCCATACTGGATTACTGGATATCAGATGCCCAAGGCATTGAGTATTAATTGGTTATTAACTGATTATCCAGGACTCGGTTTTACTTGAATACTCCGTACTGTGAAGTCAAATCCAATCAATCTTATGAGGTCCTCCATCCTGACCTGTTGCTGTGATGTGGCCACTACCTTGTGGATCTAGTACTAGTGTTCTACTCTGACAGGTGTACTTTCCTGAAATCCCCGATTTTTTTCAACAATTTGATGCAAGATACGTAGAATGACTTAAGAAAGAACTTCTCCTCTGGCTAAAGAAAAGAAAATAAGAGCAAGGCACACACACGGGAGGGAGGGAGGGGAGGTGGGGAGAGAGATTCCCGAGTCCTTTAGACTAATAGACTCAATAAACCTTGGATTGGTGAATATTATGTATCACTACTCCGTACTTCCATCTTTTCTGATTTCTCTTTAGTGGAGAACGGCTATGCACTGTACAGGTCAAATAGTAGATGTATTATTTTATTGAAATTGCCCGAGAGCATATAGATCTTGGTGACTAGCAAATAAATGAATAACTATTTGTTTGTCTACATTGAACGGGAACCTAATGAACCTTCTGAGCATAAGACTGGTAATGACTTTCATCGGAGGAGATCAGCATAGTAGGTGCGAATACAACCTTGGTCAATGCTGTGGGTTTAGAGATCTGCTTATCCGCAGTCATGAGACGAGACCTGTCATTCGGACGGCCTTTTTCTCCTGTATCTGCATATGTAGATGTATATCAATACGAGAGTCATATCCACCAGTGATTGATAACCGTTCAATTAGTTGCAAGTTGCAATATATCACGGGCCGCTAGTTGATCCGAAAGCACCAGCTGGCGGATGACATAACCTTTGAATGAGAGTCTTCCCCCGACTCCATGCCTCGGAAGGGGTTCAGGAACCACCAATACTCATAAAATACATGCTATCCAGCCCTTCCTCAGACATTCTGTGTCCCAGGGCTCTCTCAAACTGTGCAAAAAATGAATCCTCACATATCGGTTCCCCGCCAGCATGCCAGTCCGTCTAACTTCGGCGGCACACCTGCAAGCCGTGGATCTAGCATCCGGATGCCGCGTTTTTTCAAAAGGTGCGCTCTTTGAGAACTCCTGTGGGCTAGAAGATAATGTCAACACGGAGTATGATATTATGAATCATTTGCGGTAGGCGATTACTGATCCGAACCTCATGCTGGCCACAGGATGTTCAAGTTTCCACAGATGGACTTTGAAATGGCTATATGGGAGATGACATCACTGCTAATCGCTCCTAAGAAAGTTTTCAAATCCATCTACTACCATGTGAGTGTAGCCTTAATTGCTGGTCTTCTATAGTGCAGGTGTGCTAATTCTACCTTATTGTAGAAACGTAGGTACCTACAAACCCAGTAGTCACAACCTGATTGATGAGGAGGCGACGGGAGAAGTGTGTACTCTCACAGCAATAACACCATAATAACCTGTCGCTTTGTCTTCACAGAAACCAAGAATACCTGGCATCGGCCTGATCCCTCTTTCACATACCTACTTTCCTTCTTCTTGCTCCTCACAGCCCTCGCGTGGGGTCTCGCATATGCACCGTCTTTCGGGGCTATTATCCGCCTGTCTCTGCTGTTCATCTTTCTCCATTTCATCGGGTCCTCACTGCTGGTGTCAACAATAGGATACTTTGCCATCGGGCGACTTTTCGGTCCAGATGGAGCGGCATCCTCCTTCTCTGGGTTGCGAGGCGGACGTGGACGGAGACGTGGTGCAGCACAAGGCTTGTTCGTGCAACCGGGTGAAAAGGATCAATTGGAATTTGGATATTGCTTTGATGTACATCTAGGGTGCCGCCAAGCAAGTATTTGAGCCGAGCTAACCATTAAAATTAGGTATCTAACCGGGCATTCTTCCCTCTCTACCTTCACCTGTATGTCGTTCAGTTCCTTCTCCTGCCGCTTCTAACGCGCAGTCCGAGCAATTTTCTCGCCACGTTCCTCGGGAACACGCTCTATCTTTCCGCCTTGGCCTATTACACATACATTACCTTCTTGGGGTACAATGCCCTTCCGTTCTTGCATAATACTGAATTGCTCTTGCTCCCCATCCTCGCGTTCGCGATTCTGTGGCTTGTGAGTTTAATCACGGGATGGGGCATTGTAGCGCAAGGAGGTAGCGTGGAAGGGCTTTTCTGGGGCGCCTAATATCTGGAGCCCCACCAATGCCCCTTCGCATTGGACGAACATTCTACTGTACCTTTAATCAAGCAAGGCGTTGGTGTATACGGTGACGTTCTCGATGACTTTCATATTCATGTTCATTTGTACCGTTTTGTTTGCTTTAAGGGATCTGAGCGTAGGGATAGACTACCCTTTCCTATATATTGCGTTTATTGGAGAGAAAGCCTATTGCTGTATAGAAGTCCTCGGCATTACATATATCAATGTGTGTTTGGTTTTTGGGTCTGGAGCTTCAAGTCTAGACAGACCCGCGCTGGAGATTATCTATTGGAATAGTATTGTTCGTCTTGAAACGAACAACCTATCTAGGTAGTTTGTGTACAGTACATATAATCTCGTCAGTAGCCGGTTAGCGCTATACCCAAACTATGTTTCTATCTATCTTTGAATAAAGCCACCCCATATTCCCCATCAAAGACTCAATATCCAAGCCAAGGCAAGCTGTTTTGTTCTTTTATTTTTTCTTTGGACCACCTTTTTTCTTCACGTTCAGCTTTGCCTCTATCTCTGCAGCCCGCTGCTTGGCTAGCTCTGCCTTCTCTTCTTTCTCAGCCTCCTTCCGTAACCTTTCTGCCTCTCGGCGCTCCCGAATGATAGCCAGACGAGCCAGATCTGCACGTGCCTCCTCTGTTTTACCCTCCGCGTGCAACTTCAGGTAGCGTTCACGTTCCTGCTGAGCCTCAATGGCTTCGCGCTCTCTCCTGGACAACTGCGACATGTCTGGGTCCGGGTTCGAGTCCTTTAATTGCGAGCGAGACTTGGCCGTGTGATTCGGATTTGAGGGCAACTCTTCATCCTCATCACTGCCCCCGCCATGTTCTGACTCCGAATCAGATGGTGGTAGATCGCCAGGCTGGACTTGATTCCGTTTCGCTATAGCAGCTTGCTTCTTGGCTTTGGCTGCTGCTCGGCGCTCCTCGCGGGTCATCTCTGGAGCTACAGCAGAGCTGGATCCAGGTTTAGTATCTTCATTTGAAGATTCTTCTCCTGATTCGGACACTTCCTCCTCCTCGTCGCCCCCCTCCTCCTGTGAGGAAGATGCGGCATCGTCGTCTGGTTCCTGTTCCATTGTCGTACGTTAGGAGTCCAGCTTCTAGCATAAATTGTGTCCGTAACCCTGCCGTGGCTTAACGTACTCTCCATAGACCGACAGGATTACCGTGTTTGTCAACTGGTTGAACATCGCGACTAAAGTGTTTCCCACCTGATTTGAAAGTATCCGTCAGCCTAACATTACTCTCCTAGCATATGGTTTGGGACGAATCCCGGATATTGCGCCTACCTCCTCGCGAAGGCTTGGAGAACTTTCCACGGCCACGAGGCGCCATGATGTGAGTGATCGGTGTGAAAGGGGCCAGCCAGGATATTGAATACAACGTAAAGCACCAGAGTCTCTGGGATATATATTTAGATCCAAGGCAAATATACCTTGAAGAGATTTCTGTGACTATACAACTGTCACCGACTTTGAAAGACAGAGCGGGGAACAACGGCTTATATGTATGTGCATACAACAACTTATCCCCAGAGGCGCTTCCCAGTGTTAATGCTTCACCATATGAAACGAAAATACAGTGGCAATGAGGTAGACCACTCTATGCAGAGAAAAAGGAGTTGAATCACAAGGTAAGCAACCGAGTGGTGAGGAAAGACAGAAGACAGACAGTTGAGTCACGCAGACGATGGAATTTCGATGGTAGGGCGGGGGAATCAAATGATAAAATCAATATCCTCAGGCATCAATAAATGTGACCCCACCCTGAGTACTTCCATCAGCACCAGCCATATTACCAATTCTAATGCATGCATCTACAAATCATCATCTATCATGCACACTTCGTAATTCCTAGACAGGTTATACATGATCAATCTATATACAATCGAAATTGACAAATCTGTCACACACACATATATATTATGTATATTACTCTATTTTATGGCGTCATTGAATTCCTATATAGACGCTGCGCATTTCCCAACAACCTCACGACCGTTGCCAGGAGAGCCCCAGTTTGGCTACTCTCGCTGCAAACAAAGTCATTGCACCAGCAACAACTGCACTGCCCATGAACATTTGAGCATACAGATAATGCCCCTCATTTAGTTGGATCAATGCTCCCGCGATCGGAGACCCGATGAGAGCAGCGACGGCCACCACGCTGAGCACCATTCCCATCCTCACACCAGTCTTTTTCAGATCTGTCGTGAGGGTACTCAGTGTCGCAGGGAATAGAGATTGAATACCCGCCGCAGCAAGACCATAAAATGCGCTAAAGGCGTACATACCCCCCGGGCTGCTCACGGCAGCCCAACAATATGCAACCACGCCGGTAGCCAGGCTACAGGGAATTAGCAAGTTCAATGGCCCAGTATACCAGTCAGCCATGAGGTTCGGAATCAGCCGGCCTAGAAGTCCAACGCCATTCATAACTAGGAGTACATCGATCGAGGTTGACTGAGAGACATGGATGATGTTGCCGGCAAAACTACCAATGTAGAAGAAGCCGATATAGATACCCCAGAAGTTGAGGAACATGCCAATGGCAAACAACGCGTAGGAAGGTTCCTTGAAGGCGGCCCATTCAACGAGCGGACCACTTTGGCGCGGTGGTAACCTTTGCTTCAGAAAGAGCAAGCAAGGCGTCAGGGTGCCCAAAGAAATAAAGCCGAGGATTCGCATGGTCCATCCATATCCGATCCGAGGCAGCAAACGCATAACGACGGCGGGAAACACCAAGCCCCCAGTTGCCGATCCAGATGCCACAATCCCCATGGCAATCGAGCGCCTTTTGGTGAAATACGTAGGTACGAGGGCAATGGTAGGGCAAAACATTAGCCCACAGCCAATTCCTTGCCCGACGCCTTGCGCCAAGAACAACTGCCAGTACTTAGTAGACAAAGATGTCATGAAAATGCAAAACAGCTCCAGCGCCGCTCCCAACACCAAGGTGGCCTTGAAGTATCCAGCGTCGGTTGCACGACCAGAGAAAGTCCCAATAAAGAATAGCAAGAAGATTTGAATACTTCCTACCCAGGAAATGTCAGACGGGGTATGCCCTAATGTTTCAGTATAGTAGGTTTGGAAAACGCCAAAGCTATTAATGTAGCCCCAAGTGTTGAAGATGACAAAGTGACCCAAGGCGACTTGAAACCAGGCCAGGAAACCACCATCGGGCGGAGGCCCAATTTCTCTATTCGACTCTCTGGTGCGGACCAGTGACAATGTTTTTGAAGCCAACGCACCGACGTTGCTGATGTTTGTGGGTGTCTTGGAGAGCTCTTTTGTCCGGCAGTGATCCACGTTTGACTTTTTGTCGCCGAGAGCCTTTCCAACGCCGCTTGTACTCTCATCTCGACGTATGCCATCTCTTCCGTTGATCGTGGGTTGAGGATAACTAGTGCCATTGGGTGTTTGGTCCAGCATACTTGCTAGTTGGCAAATCAGAGAATGGCCTAGCAACGTATAGACTTGAGGTCGGCAGGTGTTAGATACGTTTCTGGGCTCTCGAGTGATTGAGCTGTTGTTTCACAAGGGAGACCTTGCCATTGATCGAGTTCTGTACAGACCGATACTCAAAATTTGTGCACATAGGGTTTGGAAGCAGATCTACCGACAAGATCTACCGACAACCCAGAGGAATTAAAATTATGTGACAAAAGTTGACGGAAAGAGGCCGTGTTGTCATGCGCGGCTTGTTCGCCGATGCCATTAGTACCACGACTCATAATAGGGCTCAGGACCAGTGGGGAAAACCAATGACTTTTATCAGTCTATCTTTCACTTTTTTCCTTTCCCTTTTTCTTTTTCCGGGTCAAAGCAAACTTGGCGCTCTATGGAGCCTACCGCGGGGGCGGATTAATAAGAGGGATGAATAGAACCGCTTCGCACAGAAGTCCGAGAAGCAGTAATTGAGATAGCCTACTTCGGAGTAAGGGCGGCACTCAGCCTACGGAATAGACTACCGAGGGGGCGAAAAGGGCAAAAGGTGTTGGCCCCAATTTTGTATCATTACAATGTACTTACATATATATACAGTACTTCTTCTACCCCACAATTTCCGAGATGCTACATATCAGTACTATAATATATAATATATTTTGAGATTGAAATGGGGTCACTACAGTATCCCGCTAGAGTTTTCATCCTTGAATTTTAGCAGAGCATTAACTTAATCCTGCTCCTATACGATTCTCGCCTCTGGTCTATCTAATCTCTAACACATTATAAAACAGTGGCCGAGCAAATCCATCTATGACGTATTATAAAAAGGACAGTGAAAGAGCCAAGGGAGGCAATCAAACTCTGCGAGTAACCGACGAAGGATATGGGGTACAAAAACTCCCACCTAGCCAGGTTGTGCTACAACTTCGCTAACGGATGTTCTCTAAATAACGACAATGCCAGAACCCCATCACGACGCCTCTAACAGATGGCCACCGTCAAAAGTATCTGTCTCCTCTACGCCTCTAGAATATTATGATCTTTTAGAATAACGAACATCTACCGTCGATGTTCTGTCATGGAAAGCTGGCACTCATGTCGGACCTCAAGTCGCACAAACGTCACAGACCAAAGAACAAAGTCTGCCGGTATCAGTAGTCTTGACTGGAGCTATTATTGAGCATTGTGACTGTCTCAATCACGTCAGCTGGCTCCAACAGATGCCAACTGGCAGAAGTCTGTTTCGAACTAGCACCGACGGTTACAGAATAGACATGATCTTGTGGGAGGTCGAACTTTTGAAGGGCCCGAAACATATCTGAGACAGATTAGCTACGATCCCCATTAGCCCGCGAAGAACCAGACTAAACATACCTTCATCAGTAAAGTCGTCCCCCGAGCAAAAGATGAATTCAGGAGCCTGTCCAGGCCCAGTCCCGTATTCGTTGACCAGTCGGCTTGCGATGAACCCTTTGTTGACAAAAGTCGGGCGAACCTCTAAATTGGCCTTTCCCGCCATGACTTCCACGTCCCATCTTTTACCTACAGTCTCCTCTAGATGTTTTCGGCACTCACGAGCCTGGAATGCACCATACTCAGGGTCTGCACGCCGATAATGCCATGTCAAAGCAACCCGCTTCCTCTCAATGAAAGAGCCTTGAGTTCGCTCGGTGTAGTGCTGGAATATCTCCATGACCTCCTTCTGCCATCCCATGTTCGATCGT